CAATGTTTCTCTCTTATCGATGTTTCTAACTCTCTATCCCTCTCCCTTCCTCTCTGTAAAAAATCAATAAAATATATTGAAAAAAAATTTCAGTCGTTGTACTGTTGATATTTGGCTCTGTTGAGTAATGAGTTTGCTGACCACCAAGCTAGGGCAAGATAACTTGTAAAAAATAAAATAATTTTCATCCCACCACCACAAAAATGAAATAAATTTAAACACTGATTACAAGCTTATTTTTTAATTTAGAAGTCATTAAAAATAACATCTCCATTATTTTTACAACAATGCAGCCTATCATTTGGTTTTAATGCTTATGAAGATAAGGATGTAGGGTACCTTTGGGAAGTATTTTATTATTTATTGCTCATTTTCCCTTTAAATCACATAGTTCAGTTCTTACAAAGTTGACTCAAATTGATTTGTAGTTAGCACCTGTTGTTTCTAACTTAGATATTTGAAAGTTGGTTTAGGTCTCAATGGTACAGTTTATTTCAAGAACATTAATATGCAGAGGGTTTTATGTTTCTTCAGTGCTGTGGTTCTCAAGCGAGGATACTGTAGAAATTTATGAGGATATTAACCAGGATTTGTGGGCTATATCTGGGGTAGGTTTGTCAAAATGCATAGTTTGACAAGATATATTCTTTTTTAAAATATATATTTTTATTGATTTCAGCGCTGGTCAGCTCTCGGGACTAAGCCAGATATCAGAGCTTAGCATCAACACTGCGAGGTCTGAAAGGGAATTACTCCACAATTTTCTTCTCTTTTAATAAAGTATATTTATTTCAGAGAGGAAAAGAGAGATAGAAACATTAATGATGAGAGAGAAGCATTGATTGGTTGCCTCCTACACGCCCCACACTGGAGATTAAGCCCTCAACCCGGGCTTGTGTCCCGACCGGGAATCGAAACATGACCTCCTAATTCATAGGTCGACGTTCAACCACTGAGCCACGTCATATGTATTCTGATTCTTTTCTCAACTAGCTTCAAAAAAGAAGGCAAATTAAACTGTCTAGGCCTCTATTTTCTTTCTTTTTTTAAAATATATATTTTATTGATTTTTTTACAGAGAGGAAGGGAGAGGGACAGAGAGTCAGAAACATCGATGAGAGAGAAACATCGATCAGCCGCCTCCTGCATATCTCCTACTGGGGATGTGCCTGCAACCAAGATACATGCCCTTAATCGGAATCGAAGCTGGGACCTTTCAGTCCACAGGCCGACACTCTATTCACTGAGCCAAACCAGTTAGGGCTAGGCCTCTGTTTTCTTATCTTTAAAATGGGGATAGCAAGAACTCTCTAGTTCTTCATTTACACCTCAATACTGCCAAAAGTTCTGTTGTACTTTTGATTATCAAAATTTTTCAAAACCTGGGATCCAATAACAAAACAGTTTTAAAATGGTCCTTGCTGAGAGGAAGAATGGGTGCTTCTAGTTTTATGAAGCAAACACTAGATGGCAGCATTCAGGCGGGATTTTCTGTTAGCAAACCAACTGGGTTTCTCCCTTCACCCACAACCCCTCTCCCCCAAAATAAAACTGAAGTCCAGAGATCGTCCTGCTTGTTTCAATTGGAACAGCAAGTGAGGGACAATATTTGACAGTATTTGCTAGGGACTAAACTAAAAGTATACTGGGGAGGGGAATAACAGTAAAAGCTTATACTGTATAATATTTACATTTGGCAGGCCCTGTTCTAATATTTTTACATATGGTAAAACAAAGAGTAAATAAATTAATGGGCAAAATCTTAGCCCACAAGCCATATATATATATAACATTAGAAAAAATGAACAAGAAATGATTTCATATTTATTGTAGTGAATGGGCAGGTAGATTATTTTTCAATGTCTTCCTTTTTTCCCTTCCTTTCTGAAAGGTTAACATGGTTGGTGCACGCAAGCAGGCTAAATAGCCATCTCAAGATGGTGAATAAAGAAAATGGAATTTATTTAAGAAAAGGGGCTAGGGGATGGGATATCCAAAGGGAAAGGCTGCACAGCACCGAGCCAAGGGGACATTGGGTCGATGATGGCAGCACCCAGGAGCTGGAATTCCATCCTTATATGCAATCACTGGCGGGAAACTGTTGTCATCAGTGGGTTTGGGGGCTGAGGCGGTGGGCTTGGAGTGTGGATGGAATGCAGGTGTGTGATCAGGTGTCTTTTAGAACAGTTTCAATTCCTTATATGGCCTGATTCCTGATGTCTAGAAAGTCTTCTTGGCCTTTGTTCTCCTATGGCAGGAAGCTTACAAATGGCTGTTAAGGATAATATTGCCCTATAGTCTTAACACTTTCCTCTTTTATTATTTTTTAAAAATATAATTTTTAGTAATTTCATAGAGGAAGGGAGAGGGAGAGATAGAAACATCAATGATGAGTGGGAATCATTGATTGGCTGTCTCCTGCATGCCCCCTACTGGGGATTGAGGCTACAACCCAGGCATGTGCCCTTGACTGGAATCGAACCCAAGACCCTTCAGTGCATAGGCGGACACTCTATCCACTCAGCCAAACCAGCTAGGGCTATTTTCATTCACGCTTTCAACAAAACAAGTATTAAGTATATGAAATGTTCA